CTCTCCTAATCCACTAAGTGAAAGGATCGCTGAAGTGGAACCTAGACTGGTGTCTGAAGAATTACAGATACTTTATTGGGAAATGAACCCCACAGCAATCGAGAAGCATAGTAACGAGATGTTACATTGTGGCAGTGACACTGTAGCTGCAGAGAAATCATATAAGATGGCGCTATGATCGTATAGAGTGAGTAGCACACCAAAGGTTAGAGCACAAGATCAAAATAGAAAAAACACTGTTCATCAACATTCAGTGATTATTACGGAACACATATTAACACCAACTTTTTGAACAAAAAAGAAACACGTGCTTGCGTACATGAGTAAATATATATACGTTACTAATCCTAATGTTCCAACTTAATTATACATCTTGGAAAAATATTAATTTGACTGCAGTCAAATAAAAGAAATCTTACCAAAACATGCTTTACAGAAAATCAGGAAGAAAATTCGAGCTCGAAACATGAGTGACACTGAGACGACATTATCCTCAATTACTATTGGATAGAAACGTGTGATGAATATTCTGTCACTATTCTGTCTTTAAAAACATACTGTATAAAAATTCACTTTATTCAGCCGCACGAGACATAGATCTTGAAGCTAAAGGCAACATCACAAAAAACAGAAATAAAAAAAGGCGGCATCATCCTAAAGCATTCTTTTTTCGAACACACCACACATGCCTCACCAAAAAGAACGTGCCTTCAACCTGTTGCCACTCAGTTACTTCTTTACAAATCCTGTTCTACCGATGATCCAACTACAGCATTGCCCTCTGAACTTTAGGTCCAACTATAGAACACTACCCTGTACACATTCCTCCCCCCGAAGAACAGAGTTTTAAGCAGAACTTCAAAATAATCATAAAAGTTGCAAATATAACACATTACTACAAATGAATTTCAGTTGTCACCCATTGTAAGCATGCAGCAATTTCATATCAATGATTGCAGGAAAGGAAAAAAAAATTAAGATTAACCTTCAAACTCCAATTTCATACCATATTCTGAGAAAGAATTTCTTTCCCTCTTTCACAACATCACAGACTTGGGGTCTATTCTGGTACCCCGGTTGGTGGGTTTCATTGTTAACGCGCGGAGACCCCTTGTAAACTACCAGTCAAGACTGAAATCTAATGATCTCTTGAGGGAGTCTCAAGAAAGCCTGCAGATAATTATCCCTGCTGTTCGGACAAACGTCCCAATCCGGTACAGTGAACTCTCGATATCTCGAACTTCGATATCTCGAAAACCTTGATATCTCGAAAAAATATTTTTCCCCTTGAAATTTCATACTTCTCCTAATGTTAATTTCAATTCCTATCTCGAAGAGTTTTCACTCAAAACCTTGATATGTCGAATTTTTTTCGAAGTCAAAAATATTTTTTTCCTTGAAAATCGCTGTTTAGTCACATTATGACCTTCATGAAGATTTCACGTAAGGGATGCTTCCCAGAATTTGATGCAAAAGGGACAATGCCACTCCCTTTACACCGAATTGGATATTCGAGGTCGCATAGTATCGGCTGCAATGAGTGTCATTCTCACCAATTCGTTAGGCAAGCCTATTAGCTGTTGTGTTTATGTAACAGGTGATTATACTTATCCCTGAAATGAACGCAGTAAAGGTGGTTTTCCTCCCACCTAACACGACTTCCCTTCCAAGCTGCAACCTCTAGATCAGAGGATATAAAAAAGCTATTTTTTGGATTGAAAACTTAGTAGAAAAGTAATTTGAAAAGAAGTGTCGCCAGGTCACTATGCTGAACATTTTAAAGAAATTCTATAAGTAGTAGTAATTTATTACAAATACATTCTGTTTTAAAAATTTTATACTTCTGTGTAAATTAATATCACTGTTATGAATTAATATGGGAATTATTGCTGTATTCAGACATTTAACTCTAGCTGGCAAAAATATTTTACAATATATTCCTTACCTTGTAATTATGTGTAATTTTCAATGCTTGGGAGGGTAACCTCGTTATCTCGAAAACTCGCTATCTCGAATTTTTTCCGGGTCCCTTCGATTTCGAGATATCGAGAGTTAACTGTATAAGTTCTTCGATAGCTTCCGTGAAGAAGGAACCCCTCTTTCACAACATCACAGACTTGGGGGTCTATTCTGGTACCCCTGTTGGGTTGGGTTCATTTGTTAACGTGCGGAACCCAACCCAACCGCTGCTACCAGAATAGACCCCCAAGTCTGTTATGCTGTGAAAGAGGGGTTCCTTCCAGAAAGCCTGCAGATAATTATCCCCGTTGCTCGGACAAACGTCCCAATCCGGTATAAGTTCTTCGATAGCTTCCGTGAAGAAGGAACCCCTCTTTCACAGCATCACAGACGTGGTTTGATTTCTGGTGAAGCGCTGACCTTTCATAGTATTTTTTTAACTGACGTGGTAGCCGCAGAGCGAAAAATCGGGACTGTAAGGCGGGTGATCCAACACTTCTCAGCAGAAAGAGCTCAGAGTGTCCTTTGTTGCACTGGCAATGTGTGGCCTTGTGTTATCCTGAAACAAAATATCACACCTCATGAAAATTTGCTTGGACATTTGCCATGGCCATTCGAAGATTCTGTAAAGTGTGCATTGAACAGAGTACTTCAGTTGAAACACGATTCCCCCATACACGATTTGCTGTCGACGATAAATTGCACTTGACGTCATATTTTCGCGCAAAGATTTAATAACTTGCAAACAGTACTTGCTTGGACTCATCCGTCACACAACTCTGCTGTTACAAATGTTTACTGCGTGTAGTGAATTTGTTTCCGGAAATTCTCATGTTCTGCGCAGTTTCGGCACATCGTCAAATCTCCTACGCCTCCATTTCGTGGCCGTATGACATATGTTCCCAACATTTACGAGGCTTTGTCTATGTTTCATTTGAACTACCATATATACAGGTGGGTGACAGAAAAATATGACCTTTGGATTTGAACATTTTTTCGAATATCTTCCGAAAGGCTGAACGGATTTTACTTGAGCTTCGACTGTGTAAAGAAGGGACTTAAGTTCACAATTTATATTGAAGATTCAGTGACGAGGGCATTCAGAGGATCGACCAGGAATTAATGAAGGAATTTTGGCTCACCCCGCTTAACAGAAAGCTTAGAATGATTTGTAATTTTCATCAATGTTTATGTTTAATATGAACATTTCTTACAAGTATTTACGTAAAAATAGCACGAATATTCCGGAAGATATAAATGTTTTCAGTAATGTCGGTAATATAATAAAGGGTGCAATAATATCGAATTTTATGAAAGTTGATTATCCTGAATATCCGTGTATACCCATACATAAATTAAATATATTATTTAAATTGCATTTTGACGATAACATTTCGAAGATTCAAGTTTTAAACATATCAATTTGTGCATCAACCATCAGCTTCTCTTAGAGTGTAACCGAAATTCACCTAGCTGCAAGGCCGATATCTTTCTGAATCTTAGCGGTATTTTATTGCAACTTTTATATAAGTTACCCTATATATCTGGCTTTGAAGTTATGAAAGAAAAATCGTGCTATGTCTCGAAAATACGCAGTAAAAAATTAAGTATTAACAACTACTTTTATTTTTAAGTTTTTACTTTAAATTTTAATACAATGCTTCATTAACATATTGTCGAGTGTTCTGTAATAATTTGCTTCAAAACCTTGCATGTTATAAGCAAAAATCATGCTGAAAAATTCGGAATTTTTCAAAAAATATTAATATCTTCCAGAACATCCATGCTATTTTATTTCCTACCAAATTCATGTAAGCAATGTGCAAATTAAACTTACCTATTGATAAAACTTGCAATTATCCGCTTTCTGTGAAGCGCTGTGAGCTTAAATTCTTAGTCGTCCTCAACAATTTCTCGTTGGTCCTCTAAATGTGCTCGCGACCGAATCTTCCATGAAAATTGCGAGTTCAAACCTATTCTTTACTTGATCGAAGTTCAACGAAAATCCATTTTCCATCAAATCCATCCGTTCGGGAGATATTCGAAAAAATGTTCAAATCCAAACGTGTTCACATTTTTCTGTCACCCACCTGTATATATTTTTAAAGATATAATTTCAAATATCCAAATGTTTTGTAACAATAAGAAATATCTATTATTATTCGCAACATGTCCTGGCGGTGCATTTTAAGATTTACAAAAATAATTACAGAGACATTCTGAAGCGAATAGTAATGATTTTTTTCTTTTAACTGAATACTACTTGAAGTATCCCTGCATTATACATTATTTCATTAAGTTTTGATAAAGAAAGTTCATTAAAAATTAATTTCAGTCAGATAATTCATTTCGATACATTTTGAATTACGGGAAATTAGATATTAATTTATTTATTGAATTTAATATGATTACTATAATAGAGAATAATAAATTCAGTCGCAGTAGCATGTAAGCTACAATGATCTAACTAGGAAATGGAAAAAAGGAAGAGCAAAAGCATATAGATTTGATTTCTATAAGCATAAGTATCGAAAAGGATAGAGAAGAAGATAACGATATTTTTGAGTGAACACTTTCTTTGTAATTGACCTTCTTTTTAAAAAAATAATAATAAAAATATTAGCCTGAAAGAAAATAATAAGAATACAGGCATTATTTAGGATCCACTAATAAAATAAGGATGTTTATGTTTACATAAATTTTCTCGGAAGGTAGTCTGCGGCATAAATAAAATTTCGTAGAAACTTTGAAATCATCAATTTTTGAGGCTTTCCGTATGTTCAGCTATTCCTTAAAACATGATCTGTTTTCATATTATTATGAAAAGAAATTAAGTAAAATTCTTTCTTCCTTAAGCAAATATTATTGATAAAAGTGATGGCATGAAATTCATCAATCACTTCCTAAATTCATAAGAATTTTAGAAAAATAAATAAATAAAAAAACGAGATGATACCCTTTCTAATTGCTCGTATACTCAGTGTTATTAAATAAAAATTTCCGGAACAAACATCGAGAAAGTGGCCCGTTATAAACATCGGGCAGTTGTAGAAGAGTGGTTAAGGCGATGGACTCAAAATCCATTGGATTTCACACGCTTAGGTTGGACTCATGTCGGCTTCGTTGGGCTCCATTTTGTGTTTTACAAAATACATTTAGGAAGAACGAAAATGACATATGTACTTACTTAGACTCATCGGGCAGCCGTGGCCGAGTAGTTTGGGCGTGTAGGGTCTTAGCTCAGTGATACTAAGCTATGAAGGACTCACCAGACACAGCAATATTAGGATATTAATTTTTAATTAAGATTCTTGATTAATTGATTTTTTTACAAGAATGTACAAATTAACATCAATATACAACAAATCTGCTTAACTCAGGACGAGATAGCGTAAACAAGTCAAAGTTAAATCTGGATTCAATCGCAGATTTGTCACGAATTCAATCGTAGATAAATTGGAAAGTTCTACTCAAGGCGAGTACAAGTCCGTTGGCCGGAAAAGTGATTTGTGTATTAGGCCGCTCAAATATTTACGTATAACCACTCACGAGTTATACCGAATTCCGAAGAAGGTAATTTTCAGTGAAGTTGGGCACGTTCACTTGAGACGAATTCCTAAGATGCGTCCAGCTCGCGACGAGCTTTAATCAGCCAAAGGTTGGCTTCGGTTTACGGGACAAGGCCCGATCCAACAGCTTCTTAGCCTGAGAGCTGCCTTCCAAATTCTCGATCACGAGAATTTAATCTTGATTCTCCAAGCGATCTCTATCCGATCTCTTGATCATCTCCCCGATCCCTCCAGAGTTCCAGTTTAAGAAGCACCTTTGACCCTGCCCTCCGAGGCGTGGTCGCAAGTTAAGTTTTTCTTGATTTGTTGAAGAAGGAGACAGTTTTCCCCAATGACAAATCTCTGTCTTGGATCCCGTATCATTATTGGCCATAGGCACAACGTAATGCTTTGGTCCTGGCTGCCTGGGTGTTTTCCCGAGGTCAGTCGGCGCGGCGTTTCAACAAGTCCCTCCGGATAATGTAATCAGGAAAGGGTTGTAACGACGTCGGCGTCCCTTTCTCCGATCGCTTCCAGCTAGCTATGTGGGAGGTCTAGTCAACTTTCTCGTGAGAATTTGGTTGCTGCTTTTCAAGACCTCACAGGCGATTGACTCGAAATCCATTGGGTTTCACCCGCACAGGTTCGAATCATCTCGGCTTCGTTGGACCCCGTTTTGCTTTTTCTCAAGATACACTTTAGGAGAATTAAAATTAGAAATTCATTCCTTCATTTTGAACCATTTTTCATTTTATTTCTATTTGAAATTTTTTTTTTATTTTTGATATATGCTCTTTGATTTGATGAATATGTGTGTGGATTTTTCCCATTTCATTTATTTTACTCCTGTTATAGATCTGTTTCTATTACAAGTAAATTTAACTGTAATAGAAATGTTACATTAACAAATGTCCTTCCCTCTAATACTGGGTTTTCGTATTTATTCAATTGAACTAATTTTGCAGCTTTTCTTAATATAAAAATTAATTCATTCAAAAAGACATTCACATTTCCCCATGAAACAAATCCCATAGAGAATTTATCCTCCTATTACTCTTCTTTTTAAAAACTGAATAAAATATTCGTTATCTGAAAATGATCGAAAACATTTTTTGGGAATGAATAATCATTTCCCCTCAGGGATGAAAGAGATGAGGTCTCAAAATATTTTCAATGATTACTTCTATCCGAATAATATAGTAGTTTTTTTCTTAAAACAAATTTACAAATTTCAGTTTTCTTGTTAAAAAAGATTTCCATATTTACCTAATTTTTTTTCCCTATGCACTTCCATTCTTCCAATATTTCTTAAAATGATTTTTGAATTAATCATTTCCGTCATTATATTCTGTGGTGAAGTATAAAATGTCAGTCAGAAAAGGCAATTTTATTCGCATGAGCTAATCCTCAAGGGAAATCATGAGAAGGAACAAAAAAAAATTCAAAGTAATTTTAATGTAAAAATAAGAACATTTTGGCATCCTTAAGAATATACAACAAACGTAACAGCAATTTTTCCCTTTCCAGTGCATCATTTAATACCAATTTCCTCATTCACTGCATTCTTTAAAACATTTGCAAGGGATCAAATCATACTTGATGTATTAAAATTCCAGTTGAAGCTGAATGATATTGTTTAAACGATGAAACATTAATACATTTTTTAAATTTTTGAATAAAGAGTAACTTTGTAAGAGCAATATAATTCACTGATTGTTTTATTATGAAATAACTTTGTTCTCTGTTATAGATCTCCCACGAAATATCAGCTGGAAAAAATCTAGAAAAATAAGCAGTACAATATTTAAAAAAATGTTCAGGGGTTGGTATTATAACAATAATGTGAAATTTAAATGTCAGTGGTTGGTATTATAACAATAATGTGAAATTTAAATATCAGTGGTCGGTATTA